TTCGTTATTGTACATAAATTAAATTATTAAAAAATTGAATTAAAAAATTACACAAAAAATGAGGAATTTCAAATAGTTAATTTGATACTAATATCGATATATTTTTGTCAAATTTTTATGATATCTTCGAACATATATTTTATTCAAAAATAAAAACATCATCGTTTTCTCAAAATCACATAAAACTATATTATAACATCAGCTAAGATAAAGAATAAAATGAAATATTAAAATCACGATGTATCTCGCTGCATTGCGCGAGTACGCTTCTAATATATATAAAGTTGATTGAACACAATAAAAATACCCTTAAAATCAATCATCAAGTCCAATGTTGGATTACGTTTGACCGATCATAACTAATAGTTGTTTGATAAATAATAAATAGAATAAAATACAGAAATGGCTAACAAACAATTTGCAAAAGTAAACTTTTCTAGAAACATTGTTGTTTGCTTCATGATAATTTTGGCTTCAGAAGTTTCTATAAATACCTAGCGTTATGCCTTTCTTCCATCATCTACAAACACTCAAAAACACTCAGGGTCTAGAAAACCTTTTCTACCTCCTCATATCATCATCGACATTACATGATGGCTTATGGATCATGCAGAATGGTCGCAACTATTCTCATCATCGCTATTTTCTTTCATGAGCCATGTATTGCTGAAACACGTATGCATAACCTATCTTGATCGATCTTCGGTCTATGATTCTTTCGGTATTTGCATATCTAGAATTGCTTACACCATCTCAACCATCATTATGTTAACCAGTTTATGATCTCTTTTATGCATGATATATACTTGTGAACAGATTGATATGAATTACTTGAATTCTACTAAGTAAACCTTGAAAAATAAATGAACAGATATGTTAGATTTGAGTAATATGAATTACCCATTGATAGTTTTATGGTCAAGAAGAAAGAAACTTACTATATGGTCGATTTTACTGTCTACTACAGCACCAAACTATACGTTCATGCATGAAGCAATAAATGCTCCGAAGATATCGTTCTACGACTACATAGTCGTTGGTGGAGGTCTCACAGGAATCCCGTTAGCCACCACACTCTCACAAAACTATTCAGTGTTATTGCTGGAACGTGGTGGCTCCCCTTATGGCAATCCCGACATCACCAATTCAGCCAATTTTGGCAACTATTTCTTGGACCCATCACCAGATTCCCCAGCAGAACTATTTATGTCCGAGGATGGTGTTGGAAATGCACGTCCGCGTGTTTTGGGTGGTGGTACTTCAATCAACGCGGGCTTGTACACTCGTGATGACAAGAAGTTCTTCAAAGAGGCAAGATTAACGGATGAAAAATTGGTGAACAGTTCCTACGAATTTCTGGAAAAAGTTATGGTTTTTGAGCCAGTTGTAACGGAGTGGCAGTCGGCATGGAAAGGTGCATTTATGGAAGCTGGAGTCACGCCATACAATGGATTTACTTACGATTATCTCATTGGGACTAAAGTAGGTGGTACAACGTTTGATGAAAATGGGAAACGACATACAGCAGCCGATCTGCTGCAGTATGCAAACCCTTTAGCATTGTCTGTTTATCTGCGTGCAACTGTCAGGAAGGTCTTATTTATGACCAAAGGTATGTAAGAGAAAGCAGTAACTTAATTAGATCAAAGTTATAATAGGGGACTTCCACCCATGACATAAAAGGATGGGTCCCAAGTTAAATATTTACAACTGTTACAGCAACATTCTTTACTTCTCTCATGCATCACTTGTTTCTTTTTTCTTCTTTTTATAGGAAGAACAAGGCCGATGGCTTATGGGGTAGTGTTTGAAGATGCATCGGGGAATAAGCATAGGGCATACTTGAAAGAAGGGAAAGGTGAAATCATATTATCAGCAGGACCTCTTGGAAGCCCACAACTTTTGATGTTGAGTGGTGTAGGTCCAAAAGATCAACTTGATGCACACCAAATTGAACTTGTCCTAAACCAACCCTTAGTTGGTCAAGGCATGGCAGATAACCCGCTAAATGCGATATTCATCCCTTCTCCCATTCCTGTCGAGCAATCTATAGTTCAAGTTATCGGTACGCAGGTTGGCAGCCAAATAGAGCAAGTTAGTAGCATTAATTTGGTCCTTGGAAGCCCTTCTGACTATCAAGGATTTTCCTATGAGGTATACACACCAGCTGTTCAAGTTTCTTATCTAAACTAGATTTGGTGCAGCCTAACAAGCTTATGAATTCCCAAAATGACAAATATTAATGTAACCAAGAATCTTTCTTTGCAGATGGGTGGATTTGTATTTTCTAAACTCGATGGCCCTTTTTCTACGGGTGAGCTAAAGCTTCAAAGCGGTAATCCAACCGACATTCCATCAGTAAAATTCAACTATTTTAAAGATCCCAGAGACTTGAAAAAATGTGTGAATGGCATCAGCACCATCCTAACAGCAATCGAGTCACGAGCTTTCTCAAAATTCAAATACGCGAACATGACTGCCCAAGATATTCTTGAGCTCACTGTTAAGCTACCAACATACTTACCCATACATGCTAATACAAGTTTGTCCTTGGAACAATTCTGCAAGGACACTGTAAGGAGTGTGTGGCAATTTCATGGTGGCTGTCAAATTGGCAAAGTAGTTGATGACGACTACAAGGTTATAGGTGCGGATACTCTCCGAGTCATTGATGGGTCTACACTACTTAACGCTCCGGCTAATCTATTAATGCTTGGAAGGTACTTAACTTTGAAAATGAAAAATGTGTTTGCTTTACATTTTATATCGATTTTTGATATTCAGAAGCTAATGATTACATCATTTTATGTCTCACAGGTACATGGGACTTACTATACTAGCCCAAAGACTTGAAAGTGACAAATCAGAATCAGGACTGTGGTTCACATCTTGATATTTTCGACACCATCGATGTTGATTTAGATGTAGTTTTGCCTGAAATGTTTTACATGGAAGATGTAGTTTGTGGTCCATGATTATTATGTTGCTATCAATTGAATAAATGTGTATGTATGAATAGGTCCTTGTTCCAATGGTAATGTACTTCAATTTCCACTACGATCAAAGTAATTGTTGAAGTTTGAAGTCTTATTTTCATGTTCATGAATTTGATTATTTTCATGTTCATGAATTTGATTTGAAACTACGGTGAGCAAGCACAGTTCTTTGTTGGCAGGGTTTTTTATGCGGGGTACGAACACTGTTAAAAAAAATATCTTTTGGAGCTGGTAAATTAGACGCGGAAATGAAAAAAGTCAACATTCGTTAACTTCCACCACAGTCCGTCACTTATTTTTAAAAAATTATTTCGATCAATTTTCCGCCAAATTATTTATTTGTTTATTACTTTAAAAAATCTGTGACATATTGTTTAAATTATTAATATTAGAAGAGTACTCGTGCAATGTAGCGAAACATATCTCGATTTTAATGTTTTGTTTTATTATTTGTCTCTGTCGATGTTATAATACGATTTTATGTGTTTTTAATAAAGCATTAATGATTTTACTTTTGAATAAAATATAAATTTGAAGATATCATAAAATTTTGATGTAAAATATATCAATTTTAATATCAAATCAACTATTTAAAAATTCTCATTTTTTATGTAATTTCTTTAATTTATTTTTTATTATAATTTAATTTAAGTTTAATAATAAAATAATTTATTTTTGGTTTAATATTATAAATTTTATAAAGATGATAATTAAGTATTCTGTTAGAATTCAATTATTATCTTAATTATATTTTAGATTTTTTATATTTAAAATGAGATGTTTATCTTGTATTTGATTATGTTTATCTGCAGTTAGTTACACGAATTCAGAAATGAAACTTTAATAACTTGTACTTACGCACAATCTACTTGTAATATTGAGTTTTAAGTAATATGCATTAATAAACAGTATTTTACGCATAAAAAGTGATTTTTAAGAGTTTTTGTCAAATGTTTTATAATATAGTATAGATAAAAAAATTAATTAATTTTAATTAAGTAAAATAAGTGATAGACTATCTACCGATCTTAATTAATTATTCTTTAAATTATATACATAGAGAGAGATCTTCAAATATAACCAATTTAAAAAGTACAATCGTTACAACTAAAGATATTTGGGTCTTTTTACAAAATTCAATTTTTATGAAGAATTCAGATTTTTATTAAAAAATATTAATTTCTTAAATATGTTGTTCAGTTACCATATGTAACTGACTCCGTATTTTTTGGAATAATTCAATTTTTTCTTAGAAATTATTAATTTCTTAATAAATGAACCATTCATAACTGTAATACAAAACAATTCATAATCACTCATAGCTGTAATACAAGAACAATTCATAATCATTCATAACTATAATTCAAAAAAATTCATAACCATATACAATAATTCATCACTTTTTCATATATTGAACAATATGAAAAATGATCCACATGTGAAAAAAGCGTACACAAAAATGATCAATATACAAAAAATTCATCATTTCTTTTTCATATATGAAACCATATACAAAAATGATCCATATACGAAAATAGAGAGAAGATAGAGAGTGAGAAAAATATAGATGGATATTACCCAGAGAGAGAGAGAGAGAGAGAGAGAGAGAGAGAGAGAGAGATGGAGCTGTTCAAACATAGTAGTCAGGAGTGCCTTATTGGAGACGTTCCATGGTGCATGATTTATCCCGGCAAATAGATAGAAATTAAAAACAAACATTAAAATGAAGGAAAACATAAAAAAGACTAAATTGCCCTCACAGACTTATCAATCAAGACCCACAGACTTATCAATCAAGACCAAAAAGCAAGTATACAATTAGTCTCAATATCATCTTTCAAGTAATATAGTGGTACAACTATCGAATATCATCAACATGAATTGTAGTAAAAGTTCTGTAAAGAATATGAAGGAAATGATTTTAGGAGGCGAATTTGAAGACTTAGATGGGATCTGAGTTAACACTACTGAAAATTAAAAGGAAATTACAGATAATGAAAGCAAGCCAGGGTGTAAGACTCAGGGTGAGTTGTAAATAGTATTTTTAGTAGACCAATGTTGTCAAAATGCTATAGCATGAAACCATGTTGCCAATAATTATCGACGGATTACCCAAAAAATACCAATGGTTTGGTAGAATATGATGTTTTTCAAGAAAATATCAATGGATCACCTAAAGAATCCCTTGGTAATCTGTCATTGATTTGAATTTCTACCAACAATTTATCCACCAAATTTTGTGAGCGTTTTGTGACGAATCAACTTTTAGCGATAGATTTCTTAGGGAAAAGTACGTACACAATTGTCTTTCATTTAGTAGTGATTGCCCTTCGACTAAACTCGATCATCCATTGAAGCTTATATGACTACGTCGGGGATGCCACAATTTCGAAAGATTCGGATCCAAAATGGAATTTATAACCCTAGCTATATCTCCCATCACAGGCTATAAAGAAAAGGTATCTTCTTTTATTCGAAACGTCTAGTGATCTTCAACCAATTATGTGCTTCAACATAATTACCAGGAGTAAATGCTATAGCCTGTTTCCAGTACTCAGTGAAAACAATAAACGTTAAACGAGTCCACCAACCTCACTTAGCAGATACAATTGTCGATCATTGTTTCATCTTTTATCAGAAAAGATTTACAGTTTTTGTCATATTTATCCAATAAGATAAGTAACTGAATAGATGCTTATTCAAATGAGTATTTGACAAATGAACCTTAAACACGACAAAAAAAACTTAATCTGATTTCTTCGTAATCACATAATTTATTAGGTCAACGTAAACCCTTGAGATAATCAAATAGACTTTTTCAAATTTGAATGATGAATATATTACGCTATCTGAAAATCAAATAACTGTTTTACGTGTGATATATATGTGTAAAAAAAAGGGTATGGATTGCAACAAGTGAATTAATATAAAATTATTATTTACTAAATAATCAATTTAAATGACATAAAATTCAATTTTAACCTAATTTACCAACATGGTTTAAAAGGAAAAACAAACCATGTAAAATATTCTATAAACGCAAAGAATGGGGATTCATACACACCTCATTTCATTACTAGAAAACTGGATATTTTCGACGGGTTTTCCGGCAGAAATAATCTGTCGGAAAATTACTGACGGACAATAAAAAAGTCAACGGAAGCCAAAAATCCGCCGGTAAATATATTCCGACAATATTTCTAGCGGATTTTACAAATTACAAAATTATTAACTCTAATTATAATAATTTACCGGCGGATTTTTGATTAATTTTTTAAGATTAATCTCCGCCAGAAATCCGCGGAATATAGTTAAAAATTAAAAATTATAATTTTAAATTTCCAGCGGATACCGATGGCTGTCGGTAATCATCTGCTAATTTAAAATAATAAATTATTCAAGATTTAAAAAAAAACCTTAATACTTTCCGACGGATTTTCGACGGTTCGCCGACAGACTCTTTCCGGCAGATTTTTTAATTTTTTTTCGTTTTTCATACTTTTGGTTTTATATATATGTAAAATATTACATATATTTTTTTAATAGATCTTATTGGGCTTTAATAGATCATAGTGGCTTTAGTGGATGTTAGTTGGATTTTAACGGTTTTATTGAGATTTAATAAATCATATTAGGCTTTAATAGATTGTATTGGGCTTTAATGAATCGTATTGAGATTTAATAGATAGTGCAGCCAGAAATATGGACCTATTCAATAGTGTTTGCCGCTAAATTTGTTTATTCAGTGAAGCATAGTGTTACATATCTTGTTATAACAATGATTAAAGCTAAATTGGAAAAGTGTTCTTACACATGATATTGAAGTTGTTGATAAAAAATTCCTCAAACTAGATTTAACATGGATTCTAGAGGAAAATAAGCCATTGTGTATTCTTGAAATGGTTCATAAAGGAACGATGTGTTTTAAGTATATAATTATGTACGACATAACTTGTATATACACTTTATTTTTTGTGAGGCTTGAAGTCTTTACGTTTAAGAGGAATCTACCGCTAACCTGGATGACGTTGAGCTGTTAGACCATCCGGCAAAGGAGTAAACAATGTACGTGAGGCATCAAGAAAATCCAATAACCAACTATAAGGGTAATTAACGGACCGTTTACCTAAACACTTACGTGGTAAGCGCTTACCGGTAAAATTCAACACTATCTTTACTTACTGGGTAAGATTTGAATACACCAAAACGACATTGTATGTAATAATTTACACGGTAAGTGCTAACCTTAGTAGGAGTCGTCGCCATCACTTATTGGGTAAGACTCTAGGTCCTTGCCTTTGCTTTTACCGGGTAAGATTATTGGTCATTGTCATATTCGTCCGGTAAAGTAATGTGACTTGAAAAACGCTTACCCAACTAAGCATTTGGTAAACGTCCCCTATGAAAACATAATTTCATCTCCATGCTAAAATGCTATAAAATTACAAGTTTATCTTTAACCGATGTACAAAATGAGTATATTAAAGCACACTAACGTACTTTGACAAACCTCATTTTAACTCATAAAAATCAAGTTTTGATACAAACTTTGTTTTAGTTGATTGAAAATTTAATAATTTTAAAAGTTATAAAACTAAGTACTAAATAAAGTGTGTTGATATAATAAGATTATCAATTTAATTAATTTATTAAAACTAATATATATATATATATATAAAGGGTACTCGTGCAATGTATCGAGACACATCTTGATTTTAGTGTTTCATTTTATTCATTTTTTATGTCGATATAATACAGTTTTATGTGATTTTGAGAAAGCGATACTGTTTTTATTTTTGAATAAAATATAAATTTGAAAATATTATAAATTTTTGACAAAATATCTCGATATCAGTATCGAATTAATCTTTTTAAAAGTTTTTGTGTTTTGGTGTAATTTCCTTAATTCAAAATTTTAATTATAATTTAATTTAGGTTTAGTAACAAAGAAATTTAATTTAGGTTTCATAATATAATTTTTTATAAAAATAATAACTAAATATTCTGTTATAACTCAATA